GGCACCAGATAAATTGTTGACACTAGTTCAATGTGCATCGTGACCTCTACTCTTCATAAATCTTCCATTTGTTTTCATATGCGAGAATTTTGGAAAGCCAATTACTGCTGTGATAGCTGTTAAATGAAATCTCAGACTACACAATAAAAACTGGAAAAGTTCAATTTTTAAGGGAGTCCAATATTCAACAGTAGGGAGGACAGTTAGACGTAGAGTTCTGTGTGGTGGGGGGAATGGGTAACGTGAGGTAGAAGGGGAGTAGGAGGCTCTGGGGTGTGTACCTGGTGACGAGACAGAGGCTAGTGCTGAAGGTGTCCACCCTGAGCTACATTCCCTGTCACTACTTGCTGTCCTTTGATGCTATGTGGAACTGGAAAATGGCTGTGACAATGCCCAACTGGGTGAAGTCAATGTCACTTTGATGGGCGAAAGCTCAGGATCCTCGTCTGCTTGATGCTAGGACCTTAAATGGGAAAATATATAAAGCAGGCAATTTCAAACTGCAGCTACATTCAACTTGCAATCATTCTTTCATCCATTTGTAATGCGTGCAGAGTAAACATGTTTACAGTTCAAATGGTCAAGGCAACCTGTTCCATACTATTGATCCTTAAAACTTGAGTGCTGATTATTCAATGTCAAATAAGTTAGCTGCACTGAGAGTGCAAGGCTGGCCAAAATTGACCCATAATTTTTGAAACTTCCAATGGTTCTTTTGGAGTCCAAGCTGATTGAGTTAACATCTGCCATGTAAGTATTACTGTGAACTATTGAATGCGATAAAAAATTGAGCATGAGTTTTGGATCAAAAGGGGTTCTGAGTATAGCAGACATGGCATATTGCCTTGTGATGTACTTTAGTGGTCAGTCAGTCAAGCACCTTCAAGTTGGTGCACACAATGAAGTTTGAAAATGACAGAATGATGGAGACATGGCCCTCGTTGTCAGGCTGTAGTATATCTCATTTTATACAGGAGAGTGCGCAACTCTGATCTGCAGGGTATCCCACCACTGACCATTCTCACAGCTAAAAACCTATTTTGCTCCTTATGTTCCCAACATCGGTTATTTCCATTGGGGCTCCTGTACCTTGCCACTGCAGGAATGTTGGTCACTGTGGGCTGACTTTCTGAGAAGGCAAAGGCAGATGCAGGAGGACCAGGGTGATAGGAAGCCCCCTCCATCTCCTAGGGATGAATGAGGTGCAGTATTGTTTCAGGTTCTGCATGTCCTGATATACCGATGCAACTATGCTGGAAGCTGGAGCAGTACCTGAGACCTGCAGTGGTGGAATGCCATCCTGTTTCAGTGCTGCAATCACATGCCTTACAAAGCTGGCTCCTGGCAAGAAAGGGCTACCCACTGTGACAATGGCTCATGACACCACTGCGCAGCCTCCTGACAGCAGAGCACAGATACAATGCTGCCATTGACAAAGACTGTGTTGGAGTAGAGTATAAAGCTCATGAAGATGCGGTTCTCAGGGAAGATCTCCAGTCCAGACAGAGTGTGCTGCATCATCCTGTCATGCTGCGCTCTGCATGATTGGAATAGGCGATGAGGCACTTTGCTGGAAGGTAAGGAGCCAGGAGAATGGGAGCAAACTTCTGAAGAGGAGAACCAGGATATTGAAGAGGGGAAGTTCTCCTTATGTATGACAGAGCTCGTTATGTCTGGTGGTACAAGCAGACAGAATCTGATTGACATCAGTTCAGGATGACAGCTGGATGCAGCTGACCATGGAGTATAAAATAGTTATTGGTCATAATGCCAGTATTTGGTTTGCATTATGGCAAACTGCATCATCTGTTTTGGTTTTCCGTTTTGCTGGGTGTCAATACAGTTGATCTTTGTAAATGTTGGGTTGTTTGCCTGTATGTGAATTCCCCTAGTCAGCATTGGACAGAGCAGTGCTAACTTAGATGCCTTCAATAGGACGTAGCGAAGGACAGGTAATCAGTTTGGTATTAAACAGTGACTAGGGTGGGAGAATGCGGTTTTATGTGTGAGGCAGTATCAGCTGTCTGGTGTGCAGCTTGGCTGCTACACCATTGCATTGCTGGTGAGGGACAGCGTCGGATTGCCATGCTTGTCCTGGTACCCAATGGCTTTTTAAAGATTGCACGGGTGCCAGGGATGCTGGTCTTATGGCTAACAACCAGTGAATATCGAGTTGTTGTGGGAACGAGGTGTGGTAAGATGGGTCTTGAATTGTGTGAAAGGAGCACCATTGGGGCAAGGTAGCTAGCTAATGAGTGAAGTTTGTCAGATGCCACCAAAGATTTTGCTAGGCCTTGCATTAAAAACCGACCAGAAACACAACAAAGCTGACACTTAGCCAAAAACAAAATTAACTCAGTATGTATGACTGGTCCTGTTTCATTTCTGGTAAATGTTAGGCCCCAGTATGTTGCTAGTGAATATTTTATTGATTTAATAATGCAGTTGAACATAAAGGGAAATTGGTTAGGTTCTGTCTTGTCACTGATTTTCAATTCTATACTCATGCATGGATGTTGCCCAGATGTTTTTACATATGGGTGTTGGATCCTTTAGTATCTGAAAAGTCCTGAATCGTGCTGAACATTCTGAAATCTTCTATGAATATTCTACTTCTGACGTTCTGATGGAGGTATTGATAAAGTGGCTGAAGATGTTCAGGTACAGGATACTAACCTAAGAGGTTCCTGCTGTGATGTCCTTGTAGATGATAGAAGGTTTTGAGTGGTCAGTTGTTTTATCATTTGTCATCAAATACTGAGTCACGATCTATCTGCATCATCCAGATGGTAGTGAGTAGAGCTCCTGAGGCAGGGCTCGTCCGCCCTTACCATTTTTCTTTTCTTTTTTTCTCTTTTCTTGTTTATTTTTCTTCTCCTTTCCCTCACTTAGCTCTTGTCCTGACCTTGCTCAGCATTGGCATTGGTGGTGAGTGAGCCCAGCGCCAACTCAAGTGAGCCACTACTTACTTTTCCAGGGTGAGCGCAGGACCTGGCATCAGAATCAGCAGCTGCTACACTGGTGGAGGCAACGTCAGCAAGGTAGACCCAGCAGCAAAAGATGGCACTTGAGTATTGGCAACTTTGTTGTTGGTTGACTCTGGCGCTGGTGGCAGAAGGATATCACAGCGACATCAAGGTGGACCCAGCGGCGAGAGGTATGACTCTGACGTTGGTGGATCTGGTACAGGCGATAGCGAGGCACTAACAGAGGTGAATCAGCCCAGCAGTGAAAGATAGCACCTGAAAAGTGGCAACCAGCTCTGCACCTTGTTGTCTCGGATTCTCCAGCATCTGCAGTTCCTACTATCTCAACTTAATGTTGGTTGGATCCAGTGTAGGCGGTGATGAGATGGAGGAGAAGGAATGGCAGCACAGGCATCATTGATGAGAGCTGGCTCAGGACTGATAGACTCTTTTTAAGTTATATCTTTCTATGCTTTTTTCTTATCCTTAAAGTTATTCAAAATGGTGCTGGATCATGGCAACAGTGAGAAAGCTTTTAACTGTACTTCACTGTTTTCTCACTGTAAAATACATGTGACAATAAAATCATTCATTCATTCATTCATTTTGTGTCGGTTTAGCTAGCCTAGTTCAAATTTTAGACAGTGGTATCCCAATGGATTCAGTAATGGCAAATCAAGGAAAGATGGTAACATTGATACAGAAAAACAGGAAGCATCTGTAATGATCTCATCCGATGGTAATACTGGATACATCAGACCCCAGTGTGAAACCTGCCTCGATAGATCATAAGTTTCATTCATGCAATTTGGTTGCAATTTTTGTCAGTCACTGATCATATTCACAAGAGGCTTTAACAAAAGAGCAGTTTTATCTCTTCACACGGTCGGGGTGGGGGCTGTTTTCAACTCTACAAGAATTACAGAATCACAGAATTAGTTGAAACTAATTTAGCACAAATATCAGAAATAAAGGTTCAATCTTTTTACACTCAATGAAACTTTACAGATAATTCTCTCAGTTAAGGCTCACCCTGATTTCATTTTGAAGCTCATTCTTTAGTCAGCATGGCCATATTTGGTTTCTTTATGACAAACTTATGCATTACTCAATCAGTTTAATATCTCTTTATGAGACACTTAAAAGCTAACACAGTCCACTTAGTTCTTAACTGGAGTTCCTTAAACTCCTCTTCCATACCTATTTATATCTAGACCTTTCTTATACTTGCACTCCACCATTCAGGATGACTTCTCTTGCCCTGACTCTGTTTTAGACCATGTTAAACTGCGCTCCTGCTCTTACAGCCTTTTTTGTTTCTGATCTGCTTCCAGCTGAAAGAAGCTTGCAAACTCACTGACCTTTTGGATGGTTCTTTCTGTATAAAGTGTCAGCTCCTGTTATAGGATACCTTGATGTTAGGCAATAGCCCAATTCTTTTCTTCTCTCCTCCACCCTTGTTTTTTTCCCTAAAACACAGAACAATTCACCTCTTAAATGCGCGTGAACATTTCTAGACACCCTTGTTCCTTTCAGAATTTAAATGAAACAAAGTCCTTCCCCTAACCCACAAGGTATATAATTACAAATCAAACTTAAGTATATAATATATATGGACTCGGCCACGTTAGAGCCTAAATGTTTTAAAGATATTTTATCATGAGCATTCAACATATTGTGGAGTGGAACTAAATCAGGTTGTTTGACATTTCATCAAAACCAGAGAAACTGGAATTGTAACAGGTTTTATGCAGATTAAATTGGCGTGCAGATTGGTGGGTAGAAACATTTAAGAAAGCAGAATGATGGCCAACTCTGAAAGCAAAAACAAAGGGGAGAGAAAAGATCAGATTACTGTATCCAAAGAAAAGGAAGCAATGATTACATTTGAATTTTACCACTCATACCATAGTGATTCTGTTTATTTTTCTTTTTTGAGTAATGCTCCCACAAAGCTTTTGTTGCATAAATTAGATGGAATTTGATAAAATTAGAAGTTCTATTGATTTATGTTTGTTTGTCTTTTTATTCTAGGATTCTCAACACTAACCATGTCCCATAATTATGATCTTTTTGAATACAAAAACTGCAACTTTATCTCCAATATTCACACCACAGAGTATTTGGAAGAACTCACTGATACTGAAATAAGAGATAGTGATGTAATTGCAATCACCTATCCAAAATCAGGTAAGGAAATTGTATAGTTTCTCTGGAATTTTCTTCTTCCTTGCCACCCGTATTTCTCAATACAGCGGATTTCGCTTGAATACAGTTCCGTCTCTGATAGCTTACACAAGCCAGTGTTCACCTGGGGACATATAAATGAAAAGGGGAAGGTGAGAGCTGAGGCTAATTTGGCTTGTTCCTTCTTCACATATTCGCTTTTCACTAAGGGTCAGGATGTCCTGGTATCTGAATCACAAAGGTTAGTATGCGGGTACATCAAGTAAATTGCAAGGAGAATATAATGTAAAAGTAGACTTTTTTTATATTGCAGTTGTCCAAGGCCTTGGTATGAAACACATCTGGACTGCTCTTTGCAGTTATGGAGATCTTACTTGAAAAGGAATTGCTTGTTACAGAAGCAGTTCAGAGAAGGTTTGCTAGACTCTGTCATAAAATGAAAAGCTTCATCTTTCTTAAGATAAAACTATACCCTTGTTTTCAAAAATATACCTTTCAAAAATAACTCATTAGAGGTTGCAACAAAACAGCATTTTTGACTTCAGAAAAGTGAGGAGTGGCCCCTATTGAAACCTAGATCCTCAGGGAACTTTATTGTGATTATACCAGGAGGATATTTCCTCTTGTGGGTCTGACTAGAACTAAACAAGTATAAGTTTAAGAATAAGATGTTTCTCTTTTTAAGACAGATGAGGAGTAATTTTTAGTTTGTGGAAATCTCGTCATGGGAAAGATATGTGGATTATGTTATTGAATTTATTTAAGGCTGTGTCAGTTATATGTTTGATGGACAAGATAGTCATGGGATATGGTGGAAAGAGAGGAAGTTGGACCTGTGACCACAACCAGATCTTGTCAGATTTGTGAAGGTTTATTTAGTATTACTGTTTGAGAGCTTATATTCTAAAGTGGAGGACAGACTGAAGTTTAGATTTCAGTTCTGTGAAGATCTGAATATGAACTCCGTTGTTTTTTAAGCAGTGATTTAAAAGCAGCATTTCCAAGAAATTGTGTGAATTTAGCAAAATGAAAAACAAGACCCTCAGAGATATTGACGTATTTGCTGACTTGAAGTTTATGACCCAGACAGGGGTCCAGAAGTGGATTCATTCAGACAGAAACCGGCTCAAAGACGTCTGTTAGATTTGATTACAAGCAGTTGAAGTTGGTAAGAAATAATGAATTGCATGGTAGAATGCATTTTGTGGTTTTCTGTTAGTTTGCATAACATAACTTACCACAGATCTGGTTTCCTATTGAAACCAATGTGTTGAAAACTACTTAAATGGCTAAAATATCACAAACTTACACACGTCTTCTGTGTTCTATGCTTCCTGATGTTAAAGCATATTATCAAAACATATCCTCTGATGACACTATGCTGTCTGTCTCTATGGGAGAGACTGAATGTGAGGCAGGTACCTTGTTCAAACTGGAATATCACATGTTGTCATGTCGTGTAACTGTTTAAAGGTACAGTCTGGTCTGGTACCTATGCCGTAGAGGTGGCAAAGTGAAGGCATCCTACAAGGTTATTGAACACATGAGTTTAAGAAGCCATGTCATGCAGGAAGCGAGCAGCGATATCAGGTTCATAGATCATAGAATCATAGAATCCCTACAGTGTGGAAACGGGCCCTTCGGCCCAACAAGTCCACACCAACCCTCAGACATCCCACTCAGACCCATTCCCCTATAACCCACCTGTTTAAGGGTTTCAGGAAAAGATTTTCTATAAAGAGAATAGCATCAAGTAAATGCATAAAAATTTACTGAAAAAAAAACTGATATAGCTGTGTCAGCAGAATGGAGAACTTTAGCAAAGTGAACCTTTATTGAACTGAGCTTTGAGTGTGTGAAAGCAGGTTGTGGGTCATGAAACGGTTGAATCATCATTTTAATATTTGTAATAAGACTGTTTGTTTATTTCAAATAGTCTGCCTAAATCCTATTTCTAATCAAGAAAATTTGACCTGATGTATTTTGTGAAATGATTATCTATAATGTGAAATGGTCCACATTGCAGAAAGTCTGCTCACATGTGATTGACAGTTGCGTTCCTGCTAATGCTGCTGATGACATTCTGCCCATCAGCTAGAGCTGACAGCCTCCACCAAGGCAATTGCACTGTATATGAGCCTCCCTTTCTTTCAGAAACACATGTAGGCAGTATTTGGTCTTCAGTGGGGCCACTGGCCATTCCTGGCTGCTGTTGCATGTCAGGTGTGTGGACAAGGAGGTGGCAAGGGAAAGCTGGGGAACAGCAATTTTGGATATTAAGCATGTCATCCGGGTTTTAGGAAGGAGCCTTGCCTTGTAGCTGGAGAGACCAAGCGAGCACAACGAAAGAGGGGTGGCCAGGGAAACCCCATCAGCGACAACAAGTTCTGCATCAACAGCCTCCACCTACCTAAGTACTGGATCACACTTTGTGCAGAGCCATCTTAAAGACGGCTCTACTGCTTTTTGTTGCTTCAGAATTACATAGTGGATCTCACTGCACATGTTCCCTCTCTGTTGCACCTAACGGTAGCAAAAATTGAGCATTCACAATCTTTATTTTTATCCGTACCATTTTGAGTTTCTTAATACCTTGAAAAAGCAAAACGCATAATTTGGATTTCATATTAATTTATATTTAATTCATGTAATGGAATATAATCTTGACCACAATTGCATGTCCAGAACAAAATAATACAAGCAAAACAAGAAATTGCAGTGTATATGCTAGTGCTGTAATAGGTTGAACTTTGTCAGCAAGACTGCAGTCATTAAATCCTGAGGCAGTAAATTCTGTGCAGTCGTTGCTAGAGTGTGAGTTAACGACACTCATTGGCAAAATGGAAGGGGAGTAATCTTTAAATTGATTTCCTTCAGGGTATGATCATATTTGAGAGGCAAACACAAAGGAGCAAGTGTGGCTGTTAGTCATCAGAGTAAAGGGAACCAAGGAGAGATGAAGAAGTGATCTAATAGATACTATACATTCCAACAGCAACAACGTACTTGCATTCCTAATCTTCAGGGACAAAGTTGCTAACTGTATAGCCAGAATGCTAACTGTGGAGTTGGAACTAGTCCTTGGTAGGTCATAAGGGGGATGCCAGAGGAATCAAGGGCTAATAATAAAAGTTGTAGCTATAGAGATTTAATAATTGATGAGCAAGAATATCCTCTAGCCACAACTTAAGTCCAGAGGTGTATCACCTTCCTATTATGAATGTAAGAGGCGTCTCCAAATACCTGGAGAGAAACATGAAAGGGGAGGCAAGATGTAGTTGTGATCTGTCAAGATGATTGACAGGGAAGAAAAGGGAGAAGACCCTGCCAGAAGGATATATCAGAAGTTGAGAACTAACCCTTATCTTGTAGTTACAATCCAAGCTAATCTGGAATGTGAATGCCTTGCTGAAAGACTAGTATGCAAGTAGTTACTGTTACATGGGACACTTGCATAAAAACTGGCACAGGAGGAAACAGAGCCATTGGGACCAACTCTACCTAATCTAGAGTTGGACACTTGTGTCCTCGTGGAAAGTGAGGCTATCAACAGAACTTCTTTCTAATGAAATAGATGAAGAATCTGATGAATATGAAAGGTTGGAGCTTTCCAGACTCTCTTAGGGATAGGATGGAAGGTGAGGCAGGAAAAGGGGGAGAAAGAAATGAGCCTGTTTTCCTTCAATGGCATTATGGTAAAATGGAGGATAGAGATCAATTGATTTATTTATGTATCCAATTAGGTATTTTCCACAACTAAATAGACATTAAATGTGGCCCAGTGTCTCCAAAATGACTGAGGTGGTGTATTTCTGGCCCACTGTCAGATGCCACAAAGTTCAGACCAAAATTTCAAAAGCTGAAAGAAATGGGAGATGAAAGTCAAGGTCAAACCGAGGTAAGGAACTAAGTCAATATTAACTCTGACCAGAAGTACAAAGGCTCTGTTAATAGCAGAGCAACTACTAAAAGTAAACTAAACATATTCACAGCATCTAAATTAAACTTTGTAGCTGGAAGTGAGGAGCTAGGTTGTAGATAAATAACCGAAACCCTTGATCTTTCTTAGGATATGGGCATCACTGGCAATGCCAGCATTTGTTGTTCATTCCACTGCATGGCTTAAGAATGAACCACATGAACACCAGACCAGCTAGATCCCTGCCTTAAAGAACATCAATGACCACATGGGTTTTTCATGACAATTGATTTCATGATTACCATTACTGCAAGATGAGCCTTCAATTCCTTTTGCATTTACATTCCATGAGTTACAGAATCAATTACCAGTGCATTATTCAGGGCTTCCTGCATAACTAGTCCAATATAATTACCACTAAGCTACCAAGGATGCAGGAGGGTAGAATAGGCTACTAGATATTTCCTATTATACTATAATCACAAGATAGCATAGCAACCATTAGGTACATAACTTGTATAATATAAAACTCTACAAATAATGGCAGCAGATAAAGAGGTAATGGCAGAAAGTAAAAACAGACTCCAGTATAGATTAATACAAAATTGAGATCACTTTCATAAGTAGGAGTACATTGCAGACCCACTGATAGTGGGAAAATGTGGAGGAAAGAAATGTAAATTATATAGGGCCCCAGCTCCATTATATTATCTCCCTCAAGTGGCTGGAAGCCCGTTTTCCTATGTAGGCACAGCTATCCCCTATTATTGTACAGCTCTACTTTGTGGTTATGTTGAAGCCCCATTTTAACTTTCAATAGCAATGCCAAGATGAAGGTGAACACCATCTAGTGGCAGTATCCAAACATTCTGACTCTCAAAGAAATTAATGAGTTATATGGTCCATACATGCAGATACTAACCTCTAGTTATTCCTCTACAGTGGAGTAACAGCAGAAATTTTCCATGGCATTGAAGCAGTGGTGCTTGTAGTGAAGATTTATGATGACCAATTCATTTCAATCAAAGGTGTCCAAACCTAATCTATGTCTGACACCTGATCCCAACTTTGCTTTTTCCTCGTTGTAGGCTTCGCCTGGAAGAATACAACTAAGAATAATTCTCTTTGTGGATGCAAAGAAAAAATGGTGTGTTGTCTCCCAGCAGTTACTGCTCAGCCATGATCTTATTGAAAGAAGCGCTGAATGGTCTGCTCCTCATAATATGTTCACAAAAAGGTGAACTCATTGAAACTGGGCAAGGGCAGATGGTGAATTAATGCCCTATTATCATGCAACTCCATAGTTACAGTATCAAGTATATTTGCTTCAATATGCTACATATTAGACTACATGCCTACATCTCTAGACTTCAGACTACATGCCTGCATTATGGTTTCCAGGCAACAGGTGTCCATTCATCTCCTATACTTGGCTGATTTCAGAATACAATGTGATGACAATCATGAGGGTCTATGTTAGAAGACCATCTACTTAGGAGCAGAAGTAGGCCATTTGGCTATTTGAGATTGCTTTTCCATTCAATTAGATCATAGCTGATCTAATAACCCTGAACTCTACTTTCCTGCCTTTTTCCCCACACTCCTGGATTCATGTACAGATTATAAATCTGTCTATCTCAGCTTGAATATATTTAACGGCTCAACCTCTACAGCCCTCTGGAGTAAAGAATTCCATGGATTCATCATTAAAAGGAAAAGAAAATCTCCTTCATTTCTGTTCTAACTGCGCAACCCATTACTCTGAGATTATGCTCTGTAGTCCTAGATTCTCTTACAAGAGAAAACAACTTCTCAGCATCCATCCTATCAAGTCACCTGAGGATCTCGTGTGTTTCAATAAGGTCACCTCTCATTGTTCCAAAATGAGTACAAGCCAACCCATTCAACGTCTCCTCATAAGACAGTCCGTACATACTCAGGTCGACCAAGTGAATCTTCTCTGGATAGTCTTCAGTATTTCCCTAAACTGTTCCAGTAATCCAGTGGACGAATTAATGCCTTGTATTGTTTTAGAAAGACTTTCCTATTTTTATTCTCCATTTCCTTTGAAATAAAGGCCAACATTCAATTTGCCTTCTCTACTGCCTCCTGAACTGTTATGCCAGCTTTTTGTGATTCATGCAAGAGGACCCTTCCAAACAAGCCTTGTGCAGAATTTCTCCATTTAAGTAATATTCAGCTCTTCTATTCTTCCTATCAAAGTGGAAAACCCTACATTTTTCCACATTGTAATCCATCTGCCAAATATTTGCCTACACTCTCTTTACCTGTCTATATCCTTCAGTTTCTCACAAACCCCCAGCCCAAACATCATTTCCATGTCAAGACCATTCAGGATTTTGTACAAATCAATCAAGTTGTTCCTTACTTATCTAAACTCCAGTGGAAACAAGCACAGCCTGTCCATCTATCACCCTAAGACAACACACTCATTTCAGCTATCACTCTAGTAAACCTCCTATTAACTGCCTGCAGTACAATAACCAGCCTGCACGGACAAAGCAGACAGGTTGTGCATTTGGAATGGGCCTCATTCACTGCTGATTTTGTTGGTAGTGGGATGAGGCCCTTGAGAGCATTGATAAAATGGCCTGTCTACTAGTGGTTTAATGCTACCCCTACTACTGGGTAATAGGAGCAGGAAGGTAGGTGGTAGACAGGCCATTCACCGTGAGCTCCACTTACATTGGACTAAATCTCTCCCCACTCCCTCCACGTATGTGAAATGAGAAAAAGCCATTGAAAAATAGTCATGGAAGATTTTGACACTCTTTTTCTCATCCCCCCTCAACTCGCTCAAATAAACGAGCAAGAAGAGATGGCAAAAGGGGTACAATACGTTCAAATTATCCTTTTTACTCAAATTTTAAAAAAGCAAAAAAAAACCTAATGATAAATGAATAATGAAAAGGAGACGGAGTGGGAATGGGTGGGGAATTTAAACCAAAGATACACACCAGCGAACAACAAATAAGAGGCAGATAAAAGAATGTAAAATGTTTAGAATGTAAGCAGAACAAGGTCAGAAATCAGACAACACCAGGTTATAGTCCAACAGGTTTATTTGAAATCACAAGCTTTCAGAGTGTTGCCCCTTCGTCAGGTGAAGTGTGCAACACTCCAAAAGCTTGTGATTTCAAATAAACCCGTTGGACTATAACCTGGTGTTATCTGACTTCTGACCTTGTCCACCCCAGTCCAACACCGGCACCTCCACATCATAAAAGCAGAACAGCAATTAGAAAGGCAAATGATCAGGTATATGAAAAGAAATAATAAATATTCTATAAAGCTTAGAAATAATTAAAGAGAAATTAGGATAGGGCAAGGTTGTTAAGATTTTAATCATGAAAGCAAAACCTGACAGAAAAATGATAAAACGTTGTGAACACGACATTAAAAAAATGATCAAAGAGGGATAGGGTTACCTTTGGAAAACTAAATGAATTTGCCTGGATTGATTGCAATGTAACAACCTTATGCATTGATTGGTGGAGTTGGATTATCTGAGACTGAAATTCGAAAGCTGCATGGAAGGTTTTCCCTCTGGTGGAGAGTTCAGGGGAATGCAAATTGGTTTATTCAGATATTCTTTTCAGAGATGTTTGAGTTCACATCTGAAAACTTGGAGGGCTGAAATCAAAAATGATTTGGCCATTGATACTTTTATGTAACGTATTGAAAGTTTTAATTCTAGGTTTTGGATTTGTTATTGCTACAATTTAATCCCAAACTTTTCACAATTTTATCACACACCAGGAACTGTGTGGATGCAGCAAATTTTGACTTTGATTTTTTCCAATGGTGACCTAGCCGCTGTTCAAAATAAGTTGCCTGAGGAACGTGTTCCTTGGGTTGAGGTCCCAACCATGTGCTTTCTAACACAACCATCACCTCGTTTGGCTGTCTCACATTTGCCTTATCATTTGATTCCAGAAGGTTTGAAAAAGAAAACTGGAAAAGTAAGTACATCTTTTATTGCTTCAAACTCTTTTCTTGTTCTCTTTTAATACATATCTTTTCCTTTCACGTCCATCATTGCCCTGACTGTCTCTTCCACTCTGTATGTTCATTGGTGCTATTTTCTGTGAGTATACATTAAGGTTAGTGGCAGCCTTCCATCTCTAAGACAATAATTTGTACCTTGGTGGATAACTGTGTCAAGCATCACCTAATGTGGCCCACACAAACATGGCAGATTTGTTGCAGAAGAAGGCAGTGAGCTGACAAGGTGGTATATAATGGTATCCTTTTTTAGTCCTTGGGATGTGGACCAGCATTTGGTTCCCACTGCGGATTGTACTGGAGAAGGTGATAAGATGCAGCCCTGAAATACTGCAGTCCTTGTGATATACACATTGTTAGGAATTTTCGACATTTTGACCCTGTGACAGTGAAGGACCAACTATATACAGCCCAAAATGTTGACTTCCCTGCTCCTCGGATGCTGTCTGACCTGCTGTGCTTTTCCAGCTCCACATTTATTGATCAATTATGTACTTCCAAAGTGTGTCTCAGAGGGGAACTTGCAAGTGGTGGTGTTCCCAAGTATTTGCAACCCTTGTCCTTCCAGATGGTAGTGGTCGTGCATTTTGAAGGTGCTGTCCGAGGAGATGTGGTGAATTTCTGCAGTGTGTCTTGGAGACAGTCTTTTTCCTCAATGGTGTTTTGAGTGTTGTTGGAGCTGCATCCATCCAGGCAAGTGGGAAGTATTCCATCACACTCCTGACATGAGCCTTGCAAGTTCCCCTCAAAACCACTTTCCTGACTTGAAAACATATTGCCATTCCTTACTTCCTTTATTTGGGGTAAGGTTAATGGGAACATGGAGCTTGAAAAGGCATTAGATCAAAAAGGCATTGGGCCAAAATCCTTAAACTCCCTCTTCAAAAGTTTTGTGAGTTTATCTGTACCAAATGGATTGCAGTGGTTCAAGAAAGCAGCTCACCACCGCCTTCTTGAGGTCAATTACAGAAGACCATTAAATGCTGGTCCAGCCAATGACGCCCACATCCCCCTTGAAGAGAAGCATTGGGTACTATCTACAAAATGCATTGCAGAAATTCACCAAGTCTCCCTTTGACAGCATCTTCCAAACCCATGATCACTTCCAAGGACAGCAAATACATGGGACCAACACCACCTGCCAGATCCCCCTCAAGCCACTCACAATCCTGACTTGGAGATATATCACTGTTCCCTCAGCATTGCAGGGTCAATGTCCTGGGACTCCCTCTTGAATGGCATTGTGGGTCTACCTACAGCACATGGACAGCAGCGGTTCGAGAAGGAAGCTCACCATCTTCCCAAGGATGATTAGGGATGGGCATTAAATGGTTGACCAGACAGCGATTCCCATGTCCAAGGAGTGAATAAAAATAAGCCTGCTTCACCATTCTAAAAGATCATGGCTAATGTCTTTTGAGCTCCACCAACCCCCAGCCTTCTACCACACACATCCCCTCCCTCACCCCCCAAAATCTGTTGGTCTAACAAGAATATACTTCTACCTTACAAATATTTAACAACATCATATCCATTGCCTTCTGAAGAAAAGAGTTCCAAAGCCCTCATCTCACTTACAGCTCTTGACTTACCCACATGAGGAAACATCCTTTCCAAGTCTCAAGTCTTGACAAGACCATTTAGGAACTTGTATTCTTCAATCAATTTACCCATCTTTCTTCTAGATCTGGTTTACAATTTGATAAATAACTTCTGAAGCTCCTTTTGGAGAGGTGATTTCTCTGTTTCATTGCTGTTGTTAAATGAATAGGACAAATTGGGTCAAACCAGCATGTGGGCAGGAATCCTGGGCCCCTGGGCTACAGGTTTGATGCTTTACCAACTTTCCCTCTCTTCTAAACACCGATGGTAATAAGGCAAACCTGTTCAAACTTTCTTCCCACTCATTCCAGGCCTCAATCTAGTAAACCAACTCTGAACTCTGCAATGTATTCATAACTTCGCTTAAACAAGAAGAGTCAAAACCGCACGCAGTATTTAAGATGTACTTTCACCAAAGACCTGTATAAATGAAGCATGCCATCTTTACTTTGTGCAATCTCACTTGTAATAAAGGACAGCATCATTAGTCTTCATGGCTACATGTTTTACCTACATAGTAACTTTGACTCATGCACTAGGACATCTAATTCCCTCTGCACCCCATAGTTCTGCAGTTTTTCTCCATTTAATTCATACTCGCTTTTTTCATTCTTCCTGTGTAAATTAACAACTTTACATTTGCCCACATTGTATTCTGACTTGCATTTCACCTTTGTGCTGTTATATTTGTTTTCCTCAAATTAGGTACTTGCCTTAACTTTATTGAACTTCAGATGTTGGATTTTCCCTTTTAGAATTTTTCTTTTAGAATAGAAATATTTTTATCCTGTCTATTCTGAAATATACACTTAGACCATTTTCAATAATGATTTATTTTCTCTATTCGTCCTTATCTCCATGCAAACCGATTTCCTGGATCAAAGTTATCTCTAACTGTTAGGCAAATTTCATCTTTGATTAACAGTACTGCCCTTTCACCTCTTACCCAGCTTCCTATTGTTCTTAACGTCCTATACCCCTTAATATTAAGGATCCAATCCTTGTCATCCTAAAGCCATGTTTCCATAATGCTTAGGAAATTTATATTTATTTCCTTCAATCTGTGCCATAAATTACTTTACTTTGTCTTTTTCTTATCATTGTAATGTCTGGTTTTGTTTATTTGTTTGTTTGTTCCTGGCTTTTTTAACTCACAGACCCTTCCTGCCATTCTCTGACCCTTATTCCCCATATTACAAATACCACCACTTTGTTTAAACTCTTTGACCCCTATCACATCTTTTCACATTAGGTCCATTGCCCTGCTATTATGTTTAAAACTGTCTGCCTCCCTAATTATGCATTTCACAAGACCACTAGTCCTGGTGTAATCATGCCAATATTACACTTTCCCTGTAATGGGTCGCTAGCCCATGAACTGGAACCTAATTCTCCCAAGCAAATGTTTTAGGCATGTATTCATTCTCTAATTTTATGGACCCTGGACAATTTGGACATTTTTAGATGTTTTGTTTTTTTTTAATTTTAGTGCCTAGTTCCTCATGCACTTGATGCAGAGCCTCCTTTCTAGTTCAGTCGAGGTTGTTGGTACCTACATGGATCATGATCATTGGATTACACACACGCACACAAGCAAAAGCACACGCCCTGCAGCCCTTGATCATATCTGAACAAACTGAGGGACCCTACATTCTATTGGAAAATTGCAGAGGCTGCCATTTCTGCACTCCCACCCTTTGGTTCTCCTTACCTAACTCACTGATTGCCCAGTCACATCCTCCTGTTGCTGATCACAGACCAAACTAGAAGATCCAATATTAAATGGTGGGATGGCACCCTGGGTACAAGGAAACCTGGTAAATTCCTCCTCCCTGATTCCTCAGTGTCAGTCGTTCAGCCCCCACCTCATAAACTCTGAACTGAAGCTGCTTGAAATTCAAGCACTGACTGCAGACATGTTGGCCTTTAATCACAGTTCTATTCAGAAGCTCCCACGTGCTGCAGCTTTCTCACGTCACCCATCCTCTCACTACTTAAACTAAATAAGAAATAGCTGAATGATACAGTTAAGTTTGCTTTTATATATTATTAAACACAAATTTGAATGCTATGTTAAAACTAAAGAGTAGAAAAAGTATTTAGCACTTGAAATTCCACAAACATCTAGTTCCGTTTTCCTGCTGTAAAGCAAGAACTAATTCAGATCAGCTCCAATGAAATTAAAACTGTGGAAGTCTGAGTTTTGTACAGTGCAGAGTCAAAGGTTGAGGTGCTATTCTATGCTTACACTGCAGCAGACCAAGGACAGAAGGGTCAGAGGCCAAATGACTGGAAGCACAAGGTCATGTTTGTGAACTGATTCATGGTGTTCCACAAAGCAGTTACTCTGTCTCTTTTCTTTTCACCTCTCCAAAGTAGAGGCAGCCCTATTGTGAGTATTGAATTCAGCATGCTAGTTTAAAACAAGCATAAGTAATTCACTTGGCCAATGAGAGAAGGTGAAAACATAGGGAAAGAGTAGAAATATACTACAATGGAAACATTTCCTACAGTATGTTGGGAGTGTGGAGGGAATTGTTTGATACTGGCATCATGCAGGAAATGGCAAGAGGTTGTCCATTGAGTGTGGCAACTGATGGAATAGAGGGTGTAGACAAGGGATACCCTTATCACAGAGCTGGGAGTGAGAGGAATGAGCAGAATTAGCTGAAGTGGTGGGGACAAGTTCTTTAGTCGAGGAAAAGGACGTATGAGAAATGACAGCATGGAGATTGCATTGACTACTGACACTTTAGATGCTTTGAAAACATCCCAGGCAACTATAGTTTTCATTTTATAGCATTTGTCACATGAGAGAAGAAGTAAACTAGAACTAGGGAGGAGTTGATTGAAAACTGGACAAATACTTTGAGGATGCTTCTGAAAGTGTAGAGAAAGGTAAGTAAGAGAAGGAGATTTGCAGAGTACAGAGGGTGCTGCATGAAAGCCCTGTTTCTAATAGGGTATAGCAAAATGTAATATAAAGTGGCAGGCATGAAAGGTGTCTGTTTGAGCATATGATTAGTTGAAATCACAGCAGTGGAACAGATCGAGATTTGAAGAGGAGGATTGCAGCTTTAAATAAACTTAAAGGATCTAGGACCAGTGAGGACAGATTGCCTAGAAAATTGAAAACGTAGTTTTGTTTAAACTAAATTATCAACAGAAGGTAACTTCGTCATGCCAATTCTGATTAACAGGGCCACAAAACCATGAAAAACAACATATTGATATGAAGTCCATTTTGACAACTTTACCATTTCATTATATGATTTCAAATATAATAGAACTGCAAAATAAAACGTAAAGTTATGCTTAATCAACTTTTAAGAATAGAAAACAGAAGCACTTTTTTATGATTTCATATTCAACAGATCAGATATTTTATACGTAGGTTATTTATGTTTATCGGAATCCAAAGGACGTGTTCGTGTCTTTGTATCACTTCCAAAATTACATCACACTCTTAAACACACCACCAGGTTTTGATGAATTTCTGGAGAAATTCTTAGAAGGAAAAGGTAAATAATTAGCATTCATTTTACTGTGTATGTTAATCATTGACATTTCTTCTCTTCATTTTGTTATCAATTTTCAATTCAATCCACCTTGACAGTAAACTCTCAGTCCCATCAACCAATCATGGATTCCAATGTTTCTCTTTTTTGCTACTTTTAGTCTTCGATCTGCCATTTGGCATTGATCGGCAATAGAATAGTGATCATTTGAAAGCTACTTCAGAGATCCTCCCAGCATTCAACACCAAACAATTTGGCCATTTTTGTTCACTGAGTGTGAATTCCTTTAATTCCTGATCAGTCTGTCTTAGTCAGTGAATGTAGTCCTTTCTGTGCATTTCCTGCCAGTTCCACCCATATCCAAGAATGGTAGTCAATCTAAGTGAACTACAGTCAAACTTCAATATTGGGCACAAGATTACAGAGTACTGATCATCAATTGCTAAAAATTATAGCACTTCCACACAATAACTTGTCCAATTTTAATTGTTAATTGTTCTATTTTTGACAACAGATATAAGTCTGTTATTTGAATCACTATATTGTTCTTTAAAAGGCAATAGTTTTATTTCAGGTTTCAGCAGTCATTTCATTTCGACAATGACAATGACAATTTGAAACCTTATAGTCCCATTTCATGTACTAAACCATTCAAAGGCACTTAACAGGAAATGTCAAACAAAACTTAATAGAGATGTTTGGGGAGTTGGTCCAGCTCTTAGTCAAAGAGCTTCCGCCATCTGCAATCCGACCCCACCACCAAAGACATCTTTCCCTCCCCACCCTTATCTGCTTTCCGGAGGGACCACTATCTCCGTGACTCCCTTGTCCGCTCCACACTCCCCTCCAGCTCCACTACACCTGGCACTTTTCCCTGCAACCGCAGGAAGTGTTACACCTGCCCCTACACCTCATCCCTCACCCCCATCCCAGGCCCCAAGAAGACTTTCCACATCAAGCAGATGTTCACCTGCACATCTACCAATGTGGTATACTGCATCCGCTGTACCCGGTGTGGCTTCCTCTTCATCGGGGAAACCAAGCGGAGACTCGGGGACCGCTTTGCAGAACACCTACGCTCGGTTCGCAATAAACAACTGCACCTCCCAGTCGCGAACCATTTCAACTCCCCCTCCCATTCCTCAGACGACATGTCCATCCTGGGCCTCCTGCAGTGCCACAACGATGCCACCCGAAGGTTGCAGGAACAGCAACTCATATTCCGCTTGGGAACCCTGCAGCCCAATGGTATCAATGTAGATTTCACAAGTTTCAAAATCTCCCCTCCCCCTACCGCATCCCAAAACCAGTCCAGCTCGTCCCTGCCTCCCTAACCTGTTCTTCCTCCCACCTATCGCCTCCTCCCACCTCAAGCCGCACCTCCATCTCCTACCGACTAACCTCATCCCGCCCCATTGACCTGTCCGTCCTCCCTGGACTGACCTATCCCCTGCCTAACTCCCCACCTACACTCACCTTTACTGGCTCCATCCCCGCCTCTTCGACCTGTTTGTTTCCTCTCCACCTATCCTCTCCTCTATCCATCTTCTATCCGCCTCCCACTCTCTCCCTATTTATTTCAGAAACCCCTTCCCCTCCCCCTTTTCTGATGAAGGGTCTAGGCCCGAAACGTCAGCCTCTCTGCTCCTATGATGCTGCTTGGCCTGCTGTGTTCATCCAGCCCTGCACCTTGTTGTCTTGGATTTTAAACACGTTTTTAAAAGAGAGTGGTTTCAGCAAGGAATCCCATAGTTTCAAGCCTAAGCAGCTGAAACCATGGCTGCCGATGGAGGAATGATTTAAAACTGGGGTTGAGGTAGGTGGGTGGGTGTGTGTGTTAATAGATTTGCGCCTTTTGCAACCACTCCAAGAATCCGAAATAAAAAGAATATAAATCTTGAAAGATTGTAGGAGGTGCTAACATGAGGAAGGGCAAGACCTTGGAGGGATCTTAAAACAAGGATGAGCATTTTAAAAGTCTCTATGTATAGTCTGTTTTCTGGTGGCCATATTGCTAAATGTGGAGAAACCATACATGATGGTTTTGCCAGGCCCTCTGTGGTCTGTGGGGAAGGACACCTGGGCTGCAAGTCTGCAAACATTACTTTGATTTGTCCTATCCCTGTCAAGGTAACTTTCAAACCCTAGGATTTCTAGTTGCTGCTCTTCATGCAACTACCCCAGGACAGAAGACTGGTGCTGCATAGCACCTGTACAAGGAAAGACACCTACAAGTAAACACTATCCAGCAGATGTCCAAAGGAAATTTAGGTCTGGTACTTGCTTTTAGTAATTCAATATCAATTCTGTTTTCCATTTAACATGCAAATTCTTTCTCTAACAGTGATATACAGCTCTTGGTTTGATCACATCCAGAACTGGTACACCCACAGGAATAAATTCAACATACTATTTCTGTCCTATGAAGAATTGAAACTGGTAATTACTAAAAATTTTTTTATTGACAAACTAGCAAGAGTTGAGCTTCTCAAGTGAAACAAGAAGTATCGATTTTGGGTTTTGACTGTAACAGCAGTTTTCTGGCAGTCTTCCCTTTACTACCCAGAAAATTGCACTCCTTAAAGTTGGGACATGCAGCTACATCATTCTCTCAGCGCAGCAGGTTTCTTATTGCAAATCTCTCTCTAAATGTACCAATTTATGAAAGCAAAGGAGTATGGGAATGAAATATCCTTGGCAGCAGAAGGGTCATTTTGTTGCAGATGCATTGCCCCTGTTCACCACAACCCTGCCAACAGGATATGTCAACAAAGAATTATCTGGACCTTAACTCTGGAAATAATAGCTTCCTACTGCGTCCCAAAATATCTTTGAAAATACTTGTACAGAACTATATAAATGAGTGGGAAGAGACTTTAGCAAAGAAATCTGAAAAAAAAATGTAAATTTGCAAACATAGTCACATGCACAAGTTCTCAGGAGAATAGAACTTACAGAGAAATTCTAAATCATGTAAGGAAGTGTGATGGAGATATTACACCAGGCTACGGGACAACTGCTACCTGACTTTGAGCATGGATCACACTGTCAATCATAGTAAACATAGTTACCATCACGACCTGGGTCTTCCTTGGGTTCGTGGCATGTCAGTCATATCAATTAGTCTGCTATGCATATTTGTATAAAGCAAGTGAAGGATGCTTTATTTTCAACTGGATAAAGCCCTGAACATCATAAAAGCAGGAATTTTTAAACATTAAATGGTAAGAGTCCTTTTAAGACAGCATGTTACTTGTGGATTGGTTTGCTCGTTGCTGGTTTGTAATACAGAGTGACACCAACAGCACAGGTTTAATTCCCAAACCAGCTGAGATCCTCATTCAGGTCTGTCCTTCTCAACCTCTTCCCCCATTTAAGATCTGGTGAGCCTTGGGTTAAACTGCCACCAGTCATCTCTTTCTAATGAGAGAGGAGCCCTCTACGACTGTGGTGATTTCACTTTAGAAGTCCACATGCTCTTGGATTCAGAAACGGCTCAGATATTTCTATCCATTCTGTTCATTTTTTTCATAACTTTAAACGGCTCTACAAAGTCATCCTTTCTCTAGTGAAAATTGCTAGTCCTTTCAAATCTGTATTTTTTATTTCCTTATGCCCATTGGTCTAAGCTTCACCATTTTAGGAACAATATTGAGGTTAAAGTTGCATATTTAGCTCTTACTGTGCTTTTATTAGCTTCTATGTAAAATCATTACAACTCAAACTTTTTATGGTTCACTATAACTCCCTTTGTTTTTTTCAATCCACCTGATCTACTTTTTATTTCAGTTTGAATCCTCAAACCTTTAAATTTTTCACATCACCCAGCTTTCTGCCGTTCTGTAATGCATAGTACATTGAGCAATCTCCATTACACATCCACTGTTCACAGACAGAATTTTCCCAATCTGGAAGAAATACAGGTCACCACTGAATTTTACAAATACTGAGAATTAGTGCAACCCAGCCAATGGAGAGCCAGCTGCTCAACAGTACCACCAGGAACTGAGACTTGTGCTGAGGAAGGCAGCCTACAGAAGGTGGACAAAAACATCTCAAAGATAAATTACAGGTTCAACTGCTGTAGGGGAATCAGTCTGGGGAAATCACCAGAGGCTGCCTTCACTGCGTATAATCCCTTCTTTCCTTTCTTTTAAAAATAATCTACCCCGGGATAGTAAAAATCAACCAAAAACACTGAAATATAGTTTCCAGGGCATCCACTATTTCTCCATTCATAATACGTCTTTAGTTCCTTTTGAGTATGACACATTACTTTCCTTTTGCTTAACTTTGTTTTTGTAATATATTTTTAAAGTATCTCCATTTCACAATTTACCAATTCAGTATTTATCCCCTTCCTTGTCTTATGTTTAAAACTGATGCTGTCCAATCTGACGTTTTTTATCTTCTAACCCTTTTCCCTTACTATTTGGGCATCCTTTAATTTTGTATTGTGGTCACTACTTCAAGCTAATTCACATTTAATTTGCTTATTTTATTACTCATAAGTAGAATTGACTTGAAATAACTTGTTCAAGCATTTGCCTGAGGAAATAGAAGCAGGGGTAGGCCATTCAGCCCTCCAAGCCTACTCTGTCAGTCAATATTATCAAACTGATCATCAAACTCAGTGCCTTGTTCCAACTTTCTCCCCATATCCTTTGATCCTTTTAGCCCTAAGAACATATTTAATTTATTATTGAAAACATTCAATGTTTTGGCCTCAATTGCTTCCTGTACTAGGGAAACCCACAGGCTCACCACTCTCTTGATGATGGCATTTCTCCTCTTCTCAGTCTTAAATGGCCAATCCACTATCCTGCAACACTAACTGGACTGGTTCTGGACTCCCTGGTCATCAGGAACATCCTTCCTGCATTTACCCTGACTGGGCTTATTAGAGTTTTTTTAGGTTTTTATAAGATCCCCGAAAATTCTTCTAACCTCCTAACCGAACCAATCTCTCCTCAATCATCAGTCCTGCCATCCGTGGAAGCAGTCTGGTAAACCTCCAGTGTATTTCCTCCAAAGCCAGAACATCTTTTCTGAAGTAATGAGAGCAAGACTGCACACAATACTCCAGATGTGGTCTTACCAGGATCCTGTCTGGTTGCAGCAAGCCGTTCCTGCTCCTGTACTCAAATCCTCTCAATATGAAGGCCAACAAACCATTGCCTTCTTCACCATCTGTTGCACCTGCATGCTTACTTTCAGTGACTGGTGCACAAGGGCATCAGATCACATTATATCTCCACTTTTTCCCAATCTACCTCCATTCAGATAATAATCTGCCTTCCAATTTTGCTGCCTAAGTCAATAGCCTCACATTTATCCATGTTAGACTGCATCTGCCATGAATTTGCCCACTCACTCAATTTGTTACCACATTGAAGCATCTCTGCATCCTCCTCACAGTTCATCCTCCCACCCAGCTTTGATATCTGCAAACTTGGAGATTTTACATTTAGTTCCCTCATGTTAAGAATTAATACACTTTGTGAATAGCTGGGGTCCTAGCATTGATCCCTCTGGTACAACAAATAGTGATTGGCAACCACTTGGAAACAGACTTACTCTTTGATTCCTGTCTGCGATACAGTTCTCTATCTGTTTCAGTACAGTACTCCCAACCCCATGTTCTTTACTTTTATATGCTAATCTCTTTTGTGGGAATATGGATTATTAAGGTATTATTACTATTCAGTTCTTCTTCTTCATTTACTCCTCTAAAACAGCCTTGTAACATCTTGAATACCTACTTTAGCATCAGAGATAGTAGGAACTGCAGATGCTGGAGAATCCGAGATAACAAGGTGTAGAGCTGGATGAACACAGCAGGCCAAGCAGCA